CGGTGACACAACTCTGTGTGAGTGTGTGAGTGTGGTGACACAACTCTGTGTGTGCACGCGCGTGTGTGTGTGCATGTGTGCGTGTGAGAGAGTGTGTGTGTGTGTGGTGACACAACCCCATGTATGTGTGTGTGTGGTGACACAAACCCATACGTGTCTTGTGTGTGGTGACACAGCCCTGTATTGGGGGGGGGAGGGTGAAACAACTGTGTAGTGACACAACCGTGTACAAGTTCTGACAAAACCCCATGTGTGTGGTGACACAACCCCATATGTGTGCACGTGCAGACAAAACTGTGGTGACACAACTCTGTGTGTGTGTGTTGACTCAACCCCAGTGTGTGTGGTGACACAACCGTGTCTGTGTGTGTGTGTGGAGACACAACTGTGTGTGAAATGCTCCTGTGTGTGGTGACACAACCCTGTGGGGGGTGTGTGTGACACAACTGTGTGTGTGTGAAATGCTCCTCTTGTGTGTGGTGACACAACCGTGTATGTGGTGACACAACCGTGTCTGTGTGAAATGCCCCCGTATTTGCGCTGACACAACCCTGTGTGTGTGTGTGGTGACACAGCCCTGTGCATGGGGGGGTGGTGACACAACTCTGTAGTGACACAACCGTGTACATGTGTTGACACAACCCTGAGTATGTGTAGTGACACAACCCCATATGTGTGTGTGTGTGCAGACACAACTATGTGGTGACACAACTGTGTGTGTGTGTGCGTGTTGACACAACCCCGTGTGTGTGTGTGTGTGTGACACGCTCCTGTGTGTGTGGTGACACAACCCTCTGTGTGTGTGTGTGTGTGTGTGTGTGCAGACACAACTATGTGGTGACACAACTGTGTATGTGTGTGCGTGTTGACACAACCCCGTGTGTGTGTGTGTGTGGTGACACAACCGTGTGTGTGTGTGAAACGCTCCTGTGTGTGTGGTGACACAACCCTCTGTGTGTGTGTGTGTGTGTGTGTGTGCAGACACAACTATGTGGGGACACAACTGTGTATGTGTGTGCGTGTTGACACAACCCCGTGTGTGTGTGTGTGTGTGTGGTGACACAACCCTCTGTGTGTGTGTGTGTGTGTGTGTGTGCAGACACAACTATGTGGGGACACAACTGTGTATGTGTGTGCGTGTTGACACAACCCCGTGTGTGTGTGTGTGTGTGTGGTGACACAACCCCATGTATGTGTGTGTGTGGTGACACAAACCCATATGTGTCTTGTGTGTGGTGACACAGCCCTGTATTGGGGGGGGGGTGAAACAACTGTGTAGTGACACAACCGTGTACAAGTTCTGACAAAACCCCATGTGTGTGGTGACACAACCCCATATGTGTGCACGTGCAGACAAAACTGTGGTGACACAACTCTGTGTGTGTGTGTTGACTCAACCCCAGTGTGTGTGGTGACACAACCGTGTCTGTGTGTGTGTGTGGAGACACAACTGTGTGTGAAATGCTCCTGTGTGTGGTGACACAACCCTGTGGGGGGTGTGTGTGACACAACTGTGTGTGTGTGAAATGCTCCTCTTGTGTGTGGTGACACAACCGTGTATGTGGTGACACAACCGTGTCTGTGTGTGTGTGTGGAGACACAACTGTGTGTGAAATGCTCCTGTGTGTGGTGACACAACCCTGTGGGGGGTGTGTGTGACACAACTGTGTGTGTGTGAAATGCTCCTCTTGTGTGTGGTGACACAACCGTGTATGTGGTGACACAACCGTGTCTGTGTGTGTGTGTGGAGACACAACTGTGTGTGAAATGCTCCTGTGTGTGGTGACACAACCCTGTGGGGGGTGTGTGTGACACAACTGTGTGTGTGTGAAATGCTCCTCTTGTGTGTGGTGACACAACCGTGTATGTGGTGACACAACCGTGTCTGTGTGTGTGTGTGGAGACACAACTGTGTGTGAAATGCTCCTGTGTGTGGTGACACAACCCTGTGGGGGGTGTGTGTGACACAACTGTGTGTGTGTGAAATGCTCCTCTTGTGTGTGGTGACACAACCGTGTATGTGGTGACACAACCGTGTCTGTGTGTGTGTGTGGAGACACAACTGTGTGTGAAATGCTCCTGTGTGTGGTGACACAACCCTGTGGGGGGTGTGTGTGACACAACTGTGTGTGTGTGAAATGCTCCTCTTGTGTGTGGTGACACAACCGTGTATGTGGTGACACAACCGTGTCTGTGTGTGTGTGTGGAGACACAACTGTGTGTGAAATGCTCCTGTGTGTGGTGACACAACCCTGTGGGGGGTGTGTGTGACACAACTGTGTGTGTGTGAAATGCTCCTCTTGTGTGTGGTGACACAACCGTGTATGTGGTGACACAACCGTGTCTGTGTGTGTGTGTGGAGACACAACTGTGTGTGAAATGCTCCTGTGTGTGGTGACACAACCCTGTGGGGGGTGTGTGTGACACAACTGTGTGTGTGTGAAATGCTCCTCTTGTGTGTGGTGACACAACCGTGTATGTGGTGACACAACCGTGTCTGTGTGTGTGTGTGGAGACACAACTGTGTGTGAAATGCTCCTGTGTGTGGTGACACAACCCTGTGGGGGGTGTGTGTGACACAACTGTGTGTGTGTTTAAAACCTCCGGGCGAGCAGCCTTTTATCTGCCGGTTTTTGAAACTTTGAGCAGACGGAAGTGTTCGCTTGCGGAGTTAGGACTTCTCGTCGCCTGGCCCGCTGAGGAGGGTTTTACGCGGAACGGAGGGCGGCCTCATCTAAGCAGAGGGTTTTCTTAAGATGGGATTTCTGCCTGCGTTAAATTTATACCTGCATCATCCTCGGTCTGCAATACTCTGTTTTCAGCTTAGCACAGATTCGTTCCCCGGCAGCCTAAAACTAACCTGGAGGGGAAAACACCTGATACTGAAATCGCTCACAGTTACACTTTTGGTGTGCGTAGACATGGTTGGTAGTGAAAACGATGGCAACATGTCTGTTCTTAGCCTCTGCCGCTCCTTTGGGATGTTTTTGCCCCGGTACTTACAAAAAAAAAAAGAGAAAGTACATTATTTCTAATAACAAAGTCTTTGCTGTGACAAAAGTCAGGGAATTCCTAGAAGCTGGATGAGAGTGTGGAGTGCCAAAGGCTTTGACAAAGACGGGGTATGGCCTTGACAAGTATAGCGCTGTCGCTGGTTTTGTTTCCGTATTGTCCCTATCAAAATACGAAGCGATGGTGAAGCTCGTATTAACAACTGTTGATCTTCCAAAACATAGCCTATTTTAGGTGCAGTCACGTGCTAGCGGCGCTTCAGAAGAGCGAAAGGCACGCTTCACATCTGAGGTTTACTTTGTGCTGCGTACGAGCACAGAGGCTCGATCCGACTTCCTGTACGTCGCGTTTTTTGTTTCCACAGCACTACGCTTCAGACTGCTTGATCCCTTATTCAGGGCGAGCAGGGTAGCGGGGACTCTCGTACTGTAAGCAGCTGCCTTCAGCTTTCCTTTCCCACACGGAAGGTAGTGAGAATTTATTTATTACTTTGTCTCGTAACTGTGCTCCAGAGTAGATCAGCAGCAGATGCTTCTGACATATTGCTGCTCCGTACTTTGAAATAACTCTGTGCATCGCCATACGCATGACCTGCAGTCTCGTGTTGATTCATCCGGACAGAACTTATGTTCGAGCATCAACTCAGGCATAAAATCGACTTGCCCGCTGTCTTCAAAGATGATGAAAGATGATAAAAGCCTCGTTATAATGTGACCGTTCAGTTTAACTGAGCGGTCAGAATTTTGCAGTGCTCCGCTGCGTGCGTCTGTCTGCTAAACAAATCCTGTTAAACAGTTTTCAGTTTTGTCCTCTTCTTAATATTAAAAGCGAGGACTCTCGTGGTCCACTCTGGCTGCTCAAATACAGTAGAACTTAATTTCTTCAGTTTTGCCATGTCTTCCTGCAGGGCCTGTTCCTGTCTCATTCAGTTTGGGAATTTAATTTTACAACTCAGTAAAATACCGTATAAACAGATGATAGGAACTGCCCATTCTTGAACTTAGTTATTTTTCCTGTGTCCTTCATAGCTGGGATCCTAATGTGTCAACATAAGAGTAAGAACACCCTTCATCAGAGAAAGGTAGTTGGGCAGCGGAATGAACAACGGGAAATGAACTACAGATTCATTTCAATTGCTGCCGAGTTTTACGCTGGGTCTGTGCGGCAGACCTTTGCTGGCAAAGCTCTGTCTGCGAGTGCCGTGACCAAGTGTGACCCGTGACTGACATAGCTGTGCCAGCAGAAGTCCCAGCTGTAGGTGCCGTTATCTGCAAAGCTGTGCTTTTACTGATAGGGCTTGTTTTTGCTTTTAAGGGTGTTTTTCCTGTACCGGTAGCCGTGTTTGCCACAACACTCCCAGGGCAGGAGGAGATCTAGTGTAATCATGCGTTTGACTCGGAAGGAAAAACGGATCAGTTTGTATTTTACGTGTGTGCTCTCCTCCTCCCATCCGCGGTCAGTAGAAGCTTGGTAACTTTTACAGCGAGAAATCTCGTGCTGAAGTAAGTGATGTTATGACTGCTACTTGTTTTCCTCTTTTTCCAGAGGTGTTTGTAAAACTTCTGTTTCATGTGATAGGCCGGGATTTGTTCATGCAGATTCTCGTTGTTTTCCGTTAACTTATTTTTGTACAAAGCAAGGCAAGCTTTTGCTCGAGTTTGCCGAGTGCAGGAATAGTTAGCTCCCACACTGGTCTTAAAAGAAATAAGCCAGAAAGTGGCTCCGAAGGTGTGTATGGACTATGGTAGTAAAATGAAAGGGAACCACTGGAGAAAAATTCATTGATTTGCACACTAGGGTGAGTCTTTACTTAATTTAAACCTAAAACACTGAGAAGAAAAACTTACATTTAGGTAGATCGCAGCAGCTGCTGTCCTTTCTGTTGAGAGTTCGTGCGTGCAAATGGGGAGGTGTATTTCTTGTTTCTTATTAAAACCTTTCCAAGGACATTATGTTTTTAAGTGGTAGCATCAGTAACGTGCATAATCTCAGAGATTTCTTTGGCCACAAAAAATACTGCTTAGATCAGCTTTATTCTGTTGGACACTTCTGGGTTGCTTAAGTTTAAAAAGGGGGATAAATATGAATAAATGGCCTGCTTGGTATTTATTGGAAAGCGCTTTCTGAATCCCAAAAGGGCATGTAAGACACTGAATGTAATCTGATTTGCACAATACTGAGAAAGCAGATATATTGGGGGAGTTTGGTACTTTGGGAGCATAAGATGGCACTTTAGAAAACTTCCAAAAAAAAAAAAAAGTTAAAATCTGTCTCGTGCATACCTCCTGAAACTAATTCAGGAGGATTTGTTGTGGATTTACTGCTTAAAGCATTAAATGCTAAGCCTCTGCTAATATTTCCCTTAAAAAAAAAAAATTCTGTGGTTCTTTTGATGCTAGCCTGCGATCAAACTTGGCATACTTGCAACTCGCTCTTCTTTCTTTCAGTTTAAGAGGATGTTTCCCCTTCTGTCCTAGGGCAGATTTGTTATAGCCATCAAGATACTGATAGCACTTACGTGCACGCACGCAAGCCTTCTGCTTTGCGCTCTGCATTTGTCTGTGTTCCCTGTGTACCCCGGGAGCTGGCTGCCTGAGATGTCGCTTGCCTAAAGCCCACGTGTGTACCCAGTTGTCAGGTCTTCTGTCTTTGTGGACCAACTCTGCTCTCTAAACTCCCAGTAAATAAGCAAAACGGGAGATGGAGGCCACACAGTGTTCACCTTTTAAAGGTGATGATTGCTAGATTGGCTCTGACAGTAACATCTAACTTCACCTTTCGATTAATTCTTTGTTTTTTAGCAATCTTTCTGCGCAGCTTCTGCATCTCATCTGTAACAACAGAAGCAGGGGCCAGCTTAGGACATTTCTTTATGGGTATCTTCATCTGATTACGGTATCTCTGGTATTCTCGTGCTCTCCCTCCCCGCCTTAAAAGACTAAGGATCTCAGGTTTGTGTCTGTAAACGACACGTGCGTACCCCTTGCTGCAGAAGCCTCGCAAATGAGCAAAAAACTCAGGGGACCAAGGCAACTCTGAAGCATCCCGCAGGAGATGGGAGGAAGAATTATACACTCAGGATTTCCTGAATTCATTTGTGCCTCCTTCAGGAGTGCTCTGGAGTAACTCTCAGCGTGAGGTGCAAGGAGGACTCCAGGTCATTAGCGGTACACGCGGTCCGGTTGGGTTTGAAGCCTGGTAAATTCACAACTGTTAGGCGACAGCTCGCTGTGATGGTGGGAAGAAAAAAGAAACAAAAAAACAAACCAAACCCCCAAACTGAAATGATTTTTGAAGAAAAAGGAAGTGCAGTGGAGGAAAAGCTCTCCGGGAAAGCTGCGCTAGAATCCTGTTCAGGAGAACAACTTCCGCAGTCCTTTGCACATCTCCATACAAAGGATCACAAAGTGGTATAACGGTATTCAGTCACTACCAGCAAGCTTTTCCTCTAGGCTCCCAAAGGCAGTCATTTAAATTATGATTGAAGCTATGCAGACGTGCTTTCTATGTTGTTCTGCAAGAAACAAAATTTACACCTCTCAAGCGGAGAAGTTTAAACCAACACCGATGAAAATCATACAGGATGAAAAAAAAAAAAGGCAGCAACAAAACAAGTTGTGGCTGCAACTTGTGTGGATTCACTGAACGCAGAGATTGTGAGATTAAACAAAATTGGCACCTTGGGCCAAGGAACAGAACCCCCTTTAGCTGCTGCGTGTCATGCAAACAACTAATTTAACTAAAGCTCGTAACCTGTTCGTGTACACAAGGAACAGATAAGGTTGTGTGTTCTCCCTTACTTTGGCATTTCCTGATGTAAATGATTAATGGCGTTTTATGATTGCATGGCATTGTAACTGTTTATGCTTAGCATTTAGCTAAAGGGTTTATTGTTTTTTCACTTCTGCTTGCCCGTAAAGGGGCTTTAAGCATAATATTTTCTCTGAGAAAGGAATATAGATGAGATTTAAAAGGCTGGTGGACTAAGATTTCTTAGGAAATTAAGTCTGTGCTATAGCTGCGTGTTTTAAAGTCCACCCTGCGCATACATTGTCTGCAGACAGACTTCACGAATTTCCAACGCTGCTACGCAGTCACGTTAACAAATACGTTCAGACAGTCATACACTCGGCGAGAAATGAAATACCTTTCCTTCTTGGTCAAGACTAAATACGCTGGAGATAGCGAAACGCTTCTACTTTGAGCACGTTGTTGCGCCCATGTGAGTAGGGCGAGGGGAGTGAGAGGAAGAGTAGGGTTTTGCTCGTTGCCTCACTGCCGAAAGCAAGCTCAGGCTTGCTTATGACACCGATGGTTGAAAGCGGCAGTGTCAAAAATAGTTAAGAACAAAACAGCAGCAAATCTGGCCGTAATTCAAGGAGGTCCATGGGAACTCTTGTACTACTTTCCTTCTTCCAGCAAATTATCTGTCTTGCCTACAACGATAAATTGGTAGTTGCTCTGGAGGGAAGAGTTACTAGAGGTGGCGAGGGGTGACATGGGAACAGAGATGACAGACCTCAGGAGGAGAATATGCCTAAATCTGTGGGGCAATGGATCTTCAGACAGATTTTTAGGGTTTTTCTTGTTTTTGGGTTTTTTTTTCTCCTTTTGTGGCTTGAGGATTGGCAAATCTTCAGTGGTTTGCAGACACGAACCGACTAATCCTTCGGAGCACCCTGCAATCATCCCTGCGGATGGGCCGGGAGACGGAGGTGACTCAGGATTATTCATTACCCTCAACAAAGCATGAAGGAAAACCTACCCTGCCCTCAGCTAGGAGTAGCAGGACTTTTTATAGCTGGGGATCGACTGGAGGCAGGCTTCCTCCGAGGAGCCTGTAGGCCTGCGTCCTCCCCAAATTAGGCACCCGCATGCGGGCCCGTGTTGGAAACAGGAAGGCGAACCAAAGCTCCTAAGGGTCCGAACTGCGAAGCCGTCCGACCTTCCACGAGTACTGCTGCCAGTCAGCAGCTCTCCCGTCCCTATTTACAAGAAACTAAAAGAACAATTCTAATATTTTAAATGCTTTTTAAAGGCAAAAAATATTCATGGGTTGAGGCAGCTTGGCAGGTGGCAGAATAAAGAGGATTTTTTTAGGATTCTGTTGCTGTGGAAGTGAGGCTTTCTTGCTGGCTTTTGAGGGAGGCGCAGAGGAACAAGGTCTCCTCAGGAAGCAAAAGGCAAATGGGACAGTCTTCTGTTCAGTAATAAATGTGCAATGCCTCACAGCTATACATGGGAGGGATATGTAGTCTTCACCTTAAAGGATCGCAGAATTGAAAAGGGACCTTTTTTCTTTACGGCACTTTGACAACTCCAGGAACCTGCCTTACTGACAGAATATTTCAAAAAGGAGGTTTTATGGACTGCTAAGCAAAGTTTGGCAGATGCTAAAAAGTATGCCTTTTGGATAAATTTGAAGCCCAGAAAGTGTTTCCATTCCTTTGTGTGTCCACTACCGGCTGAAACAACCTTTTTTAGCAAGTTTCTTCCCCGATCAAGAGACACGAACCTCATGTTTGAAGCAAGAGTGCAAACGATTTATTTATTCATTTATTTTAGTTCATGAAATTCACAAGTGTAAAGAAAACTACAAAAACATCCCCTTTTGGTCCAGCTATTAATGTTGTAACAGTGACGTGCGCTCAGGTTTGCTGACGTTTACCCTTTAGGGCAGCTAACCATTTCATTAGGTAATTTTTCCCTCTCTTTTTCAGAACGCTTCCCGAACTGAACGTTTTGGCGAGTTTGACTGGCAAATTAGTTTTGCTGTTGTCCTCCCTCAGAAATCGGTCTAGAAGCGCTCTCGAGGGTTTCTGTTTAGTTTTGAGTATTTAGAGAGGTGTGTGTTGAGGAAGGCTTTCTCCTACAGGCTTTTTTTTTGCTATTTTTTCACGTGATACTAGCAGGAAGATTGGGAAAAGGGGGGAGTAGAGAGCAAACCTCGTGTGCTCCGTAAACAACTGAGCCGAGAGCTCTTGCGCGTCTTCAATTTTTTTAGTTACGTTGCCTGCCGCTGTTCCTGCTTCTGTTGCTTAATCCTAAGGTTTTGTGGTCTAAAAAGGTATTTGAGAGTTCCTGCTGGAAAGGCCCCATTCTAGCACTCACAAAACATTTGTCTCTTCAAGATAAGCAAAGTAGTTTCTGCTTAGGAGACGGAGGGGAATGGATAGCTGAGGCTTGCTTGGCCTAGGTGCCTTGCGTTATGCTTGTATGAAGTTAATAAGCTTTCTGGTGTGGAGCATCTCCCTCAAATAAACGGCTTTATCTTTTTCCCGGAGTCAGCCGTGATGCATGAGGAATATATCCTTTCCCTTCTCGTCACTTCAGGCTTTGCCCGCGTGAGAGCAGGGGCAGAATTACAGTACTTGGAGAAAGGGCAGAGTTATCACCCTGTCATCTGGGGGAAGAAACGCAGATAGGAGCTGCTGTCGGCGCTCTGAAACGGCGAGCGTTTCCTGCAGTTTTGCAAAGGGTTTGTTCCCTTGCTTCTTGTTGG